GGAGGAGAGAAGCAGGTCTGGCCAGAGCCTGGAGATTGATGGGTTCTGCTTCATGCTGTCCAGCATTGGACCCGCCCGGGAGCTGAAGATGGGAGCAGAGCAATGATGAACAGCCTCCTGCCATGGGGAAGCCAGCTTGAGGCCTAATCAGATCAGATACCCCCTCCTGGCTCCTCTGGCTCCTCTCCCTCCTCCTTACAGCTCACCAACCTCCCGCACTTACTCCCCAGCCCTGCCCTGCCTGAGGTCTCCAGCCACCCCAACTGGTTTTATAAATGGCCCTTGCAGGCGGTGGGCACCTTGGCTAATTGAGTCAGCACCCATGAGGCAGAAGGCAGGAGGCTGGTTAGCATCACGGCTGAAAGGCAGTGACAGCAACAACTTGAGTGGAGTCGTCAGGGAGGAGCCTGCAGGAGCAGAGAGCGCCAAGGAGATGGGTCTTTGTAGATTCTGAAGCTCCAGGGGGAGAACTCACGGGGTGGGAAGTAGGGGGACGACCTGGCCACCCCCACTGTCACAGGCTTACACCATGGACCACAGGCCAACACACACACACACACACACACACACACACACACACCACTTCTATGCTTTGGAAAAAGAAAATCCAAGGTGAGGCAAGAAAAGCAGAGAAGAAAAGGAACGGGAAGAATGATGTTGTGTGCTGTGTGTGCACATCTCTATGCTAGATGCCAGTCATGCAGCCAACCTTACCTGCCCCGATGTCACCTCTGCATAATAACTAGCAAATGAAACCAGTTTATAAGAATCCTGGTGACAGCAAACCTCATGGTGTCAACAGCTGTCTGACTTCGAACCTTGGAGCCTTCAAGAGGCCCTTCTGGGTGGATCAATCACTTGCTGTGACATTGCCCTGTCCCCTTTGAGGGCAGCTGTTTCCTTACATATGAATTTGCCCCTGGGCATCCTGGTGGCATAGAAACCCTCCAAGGAGGCCCGGCGCAGTGGCTCACACCTGTAATCCCAGCACTTTGGGAGGCCAAGGCAGGTGGATCACCTGAGGTCAGGGGTTTGAGCCCAGCCCGGCCAATGTGGTGAAACTCCATCTCCACTAAAAACATAAAAAATTAGCCAGGTGGGGTGGCAGGTGCCTGTAATCCCAGCTACCCGGGAGGCAGAGGCAGGAGAATTGCCTGAACCCGGGATGTGGAGGTTGCAGTGAGCCGAGATCTTGCTGTTGCACTCCAGCCTGGGCTACAAGAGCGAAATTCCATCTCAAAAAAAAAAAGAAAGAAAGAAAGAAAAGAACCCTCCAAGCAGGCCCTCACTGCCGTGTGTCTGTTTGAGGAGGGTGATCCCTCAAGCAAGCTCCTTCATTCCTGTGTTCAGCCTGCCCACTCCACACTGTAGGCCCCGCGAGGGTGGGATAGGTTTGTGCTGTTCCCCAGCTCCTAGGCGGGGCTGGTCCATGAGAGATGCTCCACAGCATTTGCTTTTTTTGTTGTTTTTGTTTTTGAGACAGGGTCTCACTCTGTCCCCCAGGCTGCTGTGCAGTGGCTCAATCACAGCTCACTATAGCCTCGACCTCCAGGGCTCAAGCAATCCTCCCACCTCAGCCTCCCGAGTAGCTGGGGCTACAAACAAGCACCACCAAACTCAGCTAATTTTTAATTTTTCTTAGAGATAGAGTTTCCCTATGCTGTCCAGACTGGTTTCAAACTCCTGGGCTTAAGCGATCCTCCCACCTTGGCCTCCCAAAGTGCTGAAATTATAGGCATGAGCCACTGTGCCTGGCCCATGGCATTTGTTGAATGGAGGAAGGTATACGTTGCAGGTGACCGTGGTGCCACTGAGGTTGGTTGTAGTGGCACTGACACCATTCTCGGGAGGGTGGCGCACCCCTTGGATCAAATCTTCTGAAAGCGACCCTGATGGCATGATCAGCATTTTCTCAACAACTGTCTTAAGGACTTTCATTACCCCTCCCAACTTCCCCAAACACTACTTCCCCTGCCCCTCCAACCCTCACCCCACCTTTCCCAAGAGCCCCAATCAACCACTTCCCCTTGCATGGCACAGAGAGCACCAGAATGGAAGAACCCAAGTCCCTAGATATGGAAAGTGACAAGAGGGGACAAAAGGACGATGTCCAGCTTAGGACCCCGAACTTCTTGAAGGCAGGGTCCACACATCTGGGAGTAGGATTCTGAGGCTCTGAAGGGACAAGCTCTGACATGCAGATTCCTGAAATTATCCCCAAGCCCTTTGGGTAGTAAATGCCTTCCTTCAGAGCCAAGCCCCCAAGCCTGGTGGTGGTGAAGCCCCCAGTGGCCTTTTCCACAGGTTAACACCGCCCCCTGCCGGGCTAAGCCGGGACAGCCGCTTCAAATGCCACCTTAGGAAATCGGAAACTTGGCTACCTGGCCAAAGAGAACACCCAACTCCCACAGCTGGCCTGAAGAGGGGAAGAGTAAAATCTTTGGAAGTGGGGACTTCTAGCCTTCAGTGATCCTGAGGCTGGGAAGGGAGGGTGACAGGGGGCACCTTCCGCACAGACAGGAAGGCCCCTCACTGGCTTTCTCCAGGCAGCTGATCCATTGCTCAAGTTCCTTCAACAAGGGAAAAGGCCACAGTGAGAGGAGAAACAGAGGTCACAGCACACCTGGGAGGTCGACGTATATGCCTATGTCTACGCCCCTCTTCCTCCTAAGCGCTAGCTCTTCTGTCCAGTTTCAGGACTCATCTTGCCGGATCAATACCAGCCATCTCCATCTCAATGCATCAGAAACTAAGTTCATCTTGTTCTCAAATCCTGAGTCTCAGGTTGGGCACGGTGGCTCACATCTGTAATCCCAGCACTTTGGGAGGCGAGGTGGGCAGATCACTTGAGGTCAGGAATTTGAGACCAGCCTGGCCAACATGGTGAAATCATGTCTCTACTAAAAAAAAAATACAAAAATTAACCTGGCGTGGTGGCTCACACCTGTCATTCCAGAACCTTGGGAGGCTGAGGCAGGCAGATTACCTGAGGTCAGGAGTTTGAGATCAGCCTGGCCAACATGATGGAATCCCATCTCTACTAAAAATACAAAAAATTAGCCGGGTGTGGTGGTGCACACCTGCAGTCCCAGCTACTTGGGAGGCTGATGGGGGAGAATCGCTGAACCCAGGATGCTGAGATTTAAGTGAGCCGAGATCGCACCACTACAGTCCAGCCTGGGTGACAGAGCGAGATTCTATCTCAGGAGGAAAAAAACAAACAAACCTGAGTCTCTCTAGAAACCCTGTTTCTCTGTGTTCCACATCCACTAGGAGTCCAAGATCCACAGGTGCTAGCTCTATACCATCTTTTGAATCCAGTCCTTTCTGAATTTCTCCCTTTCCCACTTTTCTTGAGCCAGGATCTTGCTCTGTTGCAGAGGCAAAATGATTCTCCAGCCTCAGCCTCCCAAGTAGCTGGGACTACAAGTGTGCACCATGACACCTGGCTAAGTTTGTTTGTTGGTTTGTTTGTTTTTATAGAGACAAGTCTCATCACCATGTTGCCCAGGTTGGTTTTGAATTCCTGGGCTCAAGTGATCCTCCCACTTTGGCCTCCCAAGTCGCTGGGATCACAGGTGTGAGCCACGGTGCCCAGATGAATTTCCCTTTTTCTTTTTCTTTTCTTTTCTTTTTTTTTTTTTTTTTTAGACAGAGTCCTGCTCTGCTGCCCAGACTAGAGTGCAGTGGCGCGATCTCAGCTCACTGCAAGCAATTCTCCTGCCTCAGCCTCCTGAGTAGCTGGGATTACGTGTGCCCGCCACCATGCCCAGCTAATTTTTATATTTTTAGTAGAGATGGGGTTTCACCATCTTGGTCAGGCTGGTCTTGAACTCCTGACCTCGTGATCCACCCTCCTTGGCCTCCCAAAGTGCTGGGATTACAGGTGTAAGCCACCTTGCCTGACAGATTTCCCCTTTTCAATTCAGCCCCAACCTACCCCCTCCCACCCCAAGTCCATCCTCCATAGGGCTATTGGGTTATTGCCCTAAAGCTCAGCTTTTATGGGACTCCTTGTTCAAAAGCCTTTAGTCATTCCACCTTTCCCTCTAATTAGGTACAAATTCCCCTTAATACAGTCAGAATCTGCCTTCCCAACAAGATTGTCTCACCTTCCCTGCACTCTGAGCATAGAACTCCGTCCTGAATGCGACACATCCATACCTCCCCATGGTTTCACCCACACTCCCATTCCTAACCAAGACGCTCCTTCATACTCCCTTAATCTCCAAAGAACTCCTTCCCACCCATAAACGCCCATCTTACATAGTACCTTTGATATGAAGCCTTTTTGCGCTCCCAAATAGTTACCTCTCTGGCACTCATGGCCCTGTCTGGCCCCTTGTGGCACTCACACCCACTCTGTGACAGACACCTGTGCCTTGTCTCATCGCATCCCCTTCTGGGCAGTGTGCCTCTCACAGGCCAGGCAGTCTACAGCCTCCCACAAACAGTGCTCATGCTCTTGGTGGACTGGGTTGATAGCTGAAGTCCATGGACACACCCTGCCAGGAAAGCAGGTTTTGATAAGCACAAGGACACAGGCTGAGCTGTGAGGAAATGGTGTGCGGGGACCTGGGAACCCAGGCCCAATGAGAATCACAGAGCTGGAAGGCTCCTCCTTGTCCACATGGTGCAACCTCCTCCTTTTACGAAGATGTGCACAAATCTCAGGGAAGGGAAAGGGCCCAGGACCACACAGCTGATGACTCCCACTCCTGGTGCGTAAAAGGCTCCATCAATCCAATTATTTCCTTCCTTGCAGTTCAGCTTTCCCCCGCTCCCCAGTGCTTCCCCCACCATTTTTCTGACATTGACCTTATCCCAGCAAAAGGGAGACATGCTTGAACACTATTCCCAGGGTGCCCTGACTTCTATGGGCCTCTGTGAGTAGATGCTTGAGGCCCAGCCTAGGCCCCAGGGGGACCTTGCAGCTGGGGGAGGATGTGATCAAGGGTTGTCAGCTGGAGCCTTCTCTCACACAGCATTCATGCCACATAAAACGTTCCAAAAATGCTTTAATGCCACCGAGAAATCTGAAAGGTACAGGACGCTGCCACCATCCACCTGGGTGCCTGGGCCCGGGCTGTCCCTGAAGTGGCCATGAGCAGGCAGGAGGCTTGCATAGCCAAGCAGCCCAGGCAATTGCTGACATCCTTTGCCCTCTGCCCTAAATGCCCCAGGTTCCCCCTCAGCTGGGGAAAGAAAGAGGAGGAAGTGGAAAAAGAGTAGGAGGAGGGTGGTTCTCTCCAGGGCACCCTTCCTGCTTTGGGATGGTGACTCACCCAGCAGGCCCTGGGAGAGGCAATTTATCAGCCCCAACGAAGGCAGGCCAGGCCTCGGGCTCCAGAAGGGGCAGAGGAGGTTCTTCTGATGCAGTGGTCAGGAGGAGTCACCAGCAGAAGCCAGGGGGGCGGTGGCCCATCCCTCTGCTGCCTCTGTTACTTCGGGCCTTTCTTAAGTACAACATTGTCATACTCAGTTCCTGGCTGCCAGCCAGAGGCAGAGAAATCCTGCCCAGCTGGGTGGATATGCTGGAGGCCAGCAGGGTCCCTGTCAGCTGTTGCCTGCCTCCTCCATGCCTCACCCCGGGGCTCCTGCAGGCTGTCATACAGGGACAGGGCAGCCACTCCTTCGGGCTCGTCGTATATGTGGTCATGTCGAGGAGGAGGGGGCTCCTCAATGCTGTCGTACAGAGGGTCGGCCGGGAGCTGAAGAGGGACTGCCAAGATGCCCCTGAAGTTCTTCCCCAAGGAACGGGCCACCGCATCGAAGGGCACGGCATACTCTCCCTCCGGGCCCCGAGGCCGTGGAGCAGGCACCGGTGTGGTGGGTGAAGGCGGTGGCAGTGAGTCATGGGGCCGGGAGTAGGGGCTCTCAGGCCGGGGCAGCGAGGCGGGGATTGTGGCTGGCTGGGGTTGCAGTGCAGGGGGTGCAGCATTCTTCTGGGCAGAGATGGCCTCTTCCAGGGCCAAGAAGATCTCATTGCCTTGCCGGGTTTCGAACTCAAAGTTGCCCTCTCCAGAAATGCAGCGCCGGCCTGCCTCAAAGGAAAAGGTTGCCTGGGCCAGGGAGAAAGGAGGTTATCGGCCAGGCCACAGGGCAAGGATGCCTTTTTTTTTTTTTTTTTTTTTTTTTTTTTTTGAGACAGAGTCTCACTCTGTCTCCAGGCTGGAGTGCAGTGGCACGATCTCAGCTCACTGCAACCTCCGCCTCCCGGGTTCAAGTGATTCTCCTGCCTCAGCCTCCTGAATAGCTGGGACTATAGGCACGTGCCACCACGCCCAGCTAATTTTTTTATTTTTTGTAGAGACAGGGTTTCACCATGTTGGCCAGGATGGTCTCAATCTCTTGACCTCATGATCACTTCCTGCCTCCTCCTCCCGCCATCCTCTCTGCCTTGGATGTCCACCTCTGCCTCTCCCTGATCACCCCTCTTTGTTTGTAGCTTATCCTTTCTCTCAGCCTGCCCTGGTGCACCTTCCCACTCACCTTGTCCCGCCCAAAGCGTCGCAGAAACCTGTAGGGCCAGTTGTACAGCTGGGTCCCTGGCTCGGGCCCACCCCACAGCTCCAGGGCACTCTCCCCAGCCCGGAGGGTATAGGACCCCCGCAGGTGGCACCTCTCGCTGGCTTCTGTAGGTCTCATGGTCACAGCAAATTCCTTGTGGGGGGCAACTGGGGAGAAGAAGAGAGAGAAGGCGAAGGCAGTTAATGGGAAACAACTGGCCTGCCTCACCACTGCCCAGTTCTAAATGAGTGTACCAGAAGTTTTCTAGAAAGAGTATTATCCACGCACTCATGGCCCCCTACCTGGGCCTTGGAGGCTGAGCTGCTCTGTACCAGGTCATACTCTCCAAAAGGTCAGGTACCTCCACCACCTACCCTAGTAGGCATCAGGCCCCTACCCACATCCACCCCAACCTCATGCCCACATCCTTCCTGCCCCTGTCGCCAGAGCCAGTCTTGTCTTCCCCACCCCATCTCTCACCCCAAACCAGCCACCACCCCAGTCCCTATGGTCACAGCTGCAGGTGAAGCCTTGGCCCTGCCCTCCCACTGCTGGGGCCCTGGGGGTGGAGCTTAGATGGAAGACAGATGAAAGCTTCTCCTTCCTCCACCAGCTCCCCAAAAGCAGCACCCAGGGCCGGGTGTGGTGGCTCACGCCTGTAATCCCAACACTTTGGGAGGCTGAGGCAGGTGGATCACCTGATGTCAGGAGTGCGAGACCAGCCTGGCCAACATGGTGAAACCCTGTCTCTACTAAAAATACAAAAAATCAGCCAGGCGTGGTGGCGGGCACCTGTAATCCCAGCTGCTCAGGAGGCTGAGGCAGGAGAATTGCTTGAACCTGGGAGGCGGAGGTTGCAGTGAGCCAAGATTGTGCCATTGCACTCCAACCTCGGCGACAAAAGCAAAACTCCGTCTCGAAAAAAGAAAAAAGCAGCACCCTCACGTGGGCCCCCTGCCTTCCCCTCTCCCACCAGCAGGCCCTAGGTAAGATGAGGTGAACCCAGGGAGAGACTCAGGGCAGGGCAGGCTCCCCTAGGTTGGGCTGCACCCGGAAGCGAAAAGGAGAGGCTGATAAGGGGGCTGGCCCAGGCTGGGAGTAACCACAAGGCAGGAAGACTCGGGGCCAGCAGCTAGCCAGCCCACACCTCCTCTCCACCTCACCCTGGGGAGAGCCCCTGGGGGAGAGCAGGGCAGCCCCCGCCCCCTCACCTGTGGCCGCGCTGCTGTACAATTCATTTTCCTCCATGCAGGGCCGGCTCTGTTTTCCCTCTGGCCCCGAGAGCTCCTTCCTCTGCCCCTAGGGAGGAGGCCCCAGGTCTCACCACCTTCCCCGACCAGGCCCCGCTCTGGCCCAGGCCTTCTTTCAGGCCACCTCAGCCTGCTGGCTTTGTCTGCACACTGGGTTCGGGTCCCCGCCATCGAGGAAGCACCCCATTACCCTGACCTCATCCTCTAACACTTGCCCACAGGAAGCATCTAACACCCTCGGTCTGCACGCCCCCTTGCCCTTTCGGCACCCCGGGCAACTCACGGGGAAGGCCAGGAGGCAGATGGCCTGCACCCAGTCGCCGCGCTCTGCAGCAGGGGCCGCCAGCAGGTACAGGCGCTCCTTGGTCTCCAGTAAGAAGGCACTGGTGTCCCGGGGGCTGCTGGCCTCTCCGCCGGCCTCGGCCACCCGCAGGCAGTCACTGAGGCGGATGACCTTCCGGGCAGCCTCACCCCGACGTGGCTTCTCCGGGCCCTCCTGCAGCTCCAGCCGGGCCAAGGCGCAGTCCGATTCTCCATACAGTGAGGCCCCGAAGCGGCGCCATTTCTGTGCCAGGGGCGTGGGAGGCGGGGGCGGGAGGGAGCCACCCAGAGATGGGAGATGGTGAGCCAAGGGGAGAAGAGGAACCGTGGAAGGGGGACTGGGGCAGCCACTTGGAGACGGGGAGAGAGAGGTGAAGATCACAGGAGACCCAGGGAGGCAGAGAAGAGGACAGTGACTGCAGGAATTAGAAAATCGGAGATCAGCCGCCGGCCCCGAGAAAGAGGGCCACGACCAGGAGCAGAGACTGCCCAGGCAAAAAGCAACACAGGGATGCGCCCAAAGCAGGCTGCAAGAAGGCCAAACAGGCCCACCGCAGCGGACTCCAGTCCCGGAGAGGAAAGCCGGGCAGTGGCCGAGGCCCAGAGGAGGGAGTGAGGAGGGCGGCATGTGACCCGGGCTGACAACTTATTTTCCTTCCGTACAAAATCCTGATGGCAGCCCTGTTCTCCAGGAACTTCTCTCCACCCTCCTGAACCTTGCTGCCTCACTGCTTGATAGGTTGGGCCATGAGAGAGAGACAGGTATTCCCGCCAGTATTGGTTGGGAGACGAGGACTTCCTGGTTCAAGGAGGCCAGGGAAGGAGAAAGAGGATGGACAGCCGGCTGGGGTCCAGGCCCCTAGAGGCCCCAGCCCAAGCTGAATACCAGCCACATGCATCCCACTGGGGTGGGGAAGGAACCTCTACTATCATCCTAAACTATCCCTCCAGCTGCCCATTCCATTCCCTTCCAAGGTGTCCGGTGAAAATAAGTCAACACAGAGCAAGAGAGCAAAAGAGGCAAGAGATGAAGCCAGCACAGCGCCCTACCCCCACCCAGGGCAAACAGCCTTCAGTAAAGAGCACAGTTTGGGACCTGGTTGGGGCCTGGTTCAGGAGACAGAGTCTGGTAGGAAAAGAGCCCTCCCAAAGTTGAGCTCTGGGTCTAACTTGGTGGGTGCACAGTCAGACCTATAAGGGTTTTGAGTATGAAACTCCCTCTCCACCCCAGGAATTCTAGCAGCCCCCCCAGGCCTCCTGTCCAACCCCAGCCCAGCCTCACTCCTACCTTTCCAAACGTCTGTTGCTGCTGAAGATACAGGAAGCCTTGTTTCACTGCCCCGTCTCCCATCCTCTGACCATCTCCGGGCCCCAGGCTTCAGCAATCTCCTTCTCTCCTGCCCTTGCCTCTCTCTTCTCAGCCGTGTGTTCCCCTTCTCTGAAGTTCATTTCCTCTCTGCCTAGGGTTTTCTACACTATTCTAGTCTGCTCGATGACGACAGGCCGATAGGCCCTGTGGTTTCTTCTGAGTGTGTGTTCTTTTTTTTTTTCTGAGTGAGTTTTATACTCAAGCTTCCTGCATTTTCAGTGAGTTAGAGACAATTGCCAAAAAGCCAAATGCCAGCTCTTTAGTGAGCAACAGTTCAGGTACAGAAGTTGGCACAGGGAGGCACCAGCAAAGAGTGGCTGACCGGCTGGAAAAGAGACCCAGAAACCAAACAAGACAGTGAAATCAGTAGCAGAAGGGCCCCACCTTAAGCTGTACACAAGTTGGAAGGGACAAACCACTAAGTTACCTGAGGCTTGGAAAGTCTGAGGAATTTATTTGAGGCCACCAAACCAGAACCCAGCCCTCTCAACTCTTAACAGCTAGAACCATACACATGGCATTGCACGGAGAGAAATATAAGACAGCTCATGTGGGCCTAACCAGATACCACTTTCACATATGCACACACACACACACACACACACACAGAGAAAGAGAGAGGCAACCGTTGAACTACATGGGACCACTCCCTGCCTGCCAACAACACACACTCACACCAACCCTGTAAAGATTCTAGAAACATGATCATCCCCTCTGGATGGAGATCAGGAGAAGGGACTGACTCCCCAAGTACATTTCAACTGTTGGATTTTTGCCTTCTTTCAGGCGTTCCTGAGCATTAGAAAGATATTTAGGTTTCATCTGCAAATTATCTTAAGTTTCAATAGCAATCACTTTCATATACATTTTGAAAATGCTTCATAGTTACCGAAAGTGCTTTGCAGCTCACAAAGCTTCTAGGTACCCACTTTTCATCAGCCACACTGTCCCTTGACAAAGGCAGGGCTGGTGTGAACACATTTATTTGCAACTTGCCTGAGGTCACAGAGGTAGTTGTGGACAGAGGAAGAAGTAGAGACCAGGGCTCCTGATCTGTAATTCGACATTTTGCAGGGCCCCTAAATGGAATCCAGATCCATGCAAAAAGATCCATTGCTGTGGAGAAATCCAAGCTGCTCAGAGAAGTTTAACTTAAAGCCAGATGGTTTAGAGAAGCAATCTGTATGGAGGCACAGTGCAGAAGTGTTGGAAAAAACTTGAGACTCAGACCAACACTCTTAGGGTTAATCCCATAACAGGTGCTTATATAAACAGGCCCGTTTCCTCTACAACAGGGGTTCAGTTACCCTGGCAAGGAGCAAGCAGCACTGTGCACAGCTCAGGCCTTCTGCTGTACATGCCATGGACTGGACCAAATCAGCTTGAAAAAATGAATGTCACGAGCTCTGTGAGGACAGGGCTGAGTCACTTCAAGCTGACTGCCCTCAGCCCTGATGCCTGGGTTTGAAGAGGTTGATCCAAAGCTCCAGGGAGAACCAAGGATACTGCTTTGGGAAAAGCACACCTTGGGAAGTGGTTAGGGGTATGGAGATGGGATGTGGCCTAATCTTCCTCTTTAGTCCTTAGGGAGAGTCAACTCTGCCTGGGAGCTGCATGGTCTTCGGCTCAGTGAGTGAGAAGAGGAGAGCTTTAGGGCCATCCTGGGGGCTGCCAGAGCAGTGCCTTCCAAACTGTAACATGTAGATCTTGTTCAGAGTAGATTCCAATAAAGCAGGTCTGGAATGAGCCCTGAGATCCTGCTGGTGGCGGCTGGGCCAAACCACACTGAGTAGCAAGGTGACAGAGGATGTCTCCTGCTACCCTGCTCGCCTTCCCTGAAGGTAAAACAGACACGTTCCACTCAGAACCACAGGGGGGCACCCAAGTTTACCAGATTACTTGAAAGCTGTTTAAAACCGGAGGCCTGAACCCCAGGCAACCCAGACACTCCCAAGTCATCTGTTGCTTATGGAAGTTGGAGGAGTTCTCCAGTAGCCGTTGTCTGCAGAAGATAGGGCGGCAGAGTAATACCCTTGCAATCCTTCTAGGCTCCTTCAACTGTCCCTAGCAGGATTTGTGGCGACCCTGATGTAGAAACACTCACCCCAGTACCTTCTTCCTAGCCATGGGGAAACCCTGTAAGGAGGAGCCCAGAGACATTGCTCCAAGACACAGCAGAAGCATGGAGAATGAGAGGCCCTTAAGGTCCGTAGTCACCAATGATGTGTAGAAAAAGCACCGTAAAGGAGTTTAGCGTGCCTCTTGGCTTTCAGGAAGAGGCACTCCAAACCCCACCTGTGGCTCATTCTAAACCACTGGGATCCTGCCCTTTACAATGGTTTCTCTCAGCAGGAGTCAGGAACCACAGCTCCAAGAACTTTGTTACTATTCTGCTGCAGTGATTAGCAACCCAATCCTAACATAAGAGGGCTTGGGACCTTGTCTTTGGGGCAACAAAGGAAGAAGAGGAGACTTTGTCTGACTCCTTGGGCAGGCTCGGGGATTAGGTAACCCTCAAATGATGTGGAGGTAGGGAAGCTAGCTAAGGGGTAGCTCTGGCCACACAATAGGTTAAGTACATATAGGATGGGCAGAGAACTGACATGGGCCTGAGAGAGGTGAAGGACCAAGTGAAGAAATCAGTAAGCGTGTATTCTGAAGGATCCCATCCCTGGCCCTTCCACCCCCAGTGGTCCCTGACTGTGGGGGGTGGGAGGGGGACAATGCCAATCTCTTGAGCTTCATTTGTAGCCCCCACCCTTTCTCCATTAAGTTTATCACTTTTCTCAGTACTAAGAGAGAACCCAGTTCTAGAAACCTGCTGAGAGGAAGGGCCTATAACATAACATAACATAACACATGTCACCTAACAGTGACATAATATTTAGAATGCTTTGTCTTCATATGAAACCCACATGCACCCTAGAATGAGACATAAAGAAGTTAATACTTCAACAATTTTTAAAATTTATTTTTATTTATTTTTTGAGATGGAGTCTCACTCTGTTGTCCAGGTTGGACTGCAGTGGCACGATCTCGGCTCACTGCAACCTCCACCTCCTGGGTTCCAGCCATTCTCCTGCCTCAGCCTCCTGAGTAGCTGGGATTACAGGCGCACACCACCATGCCTGGCTAATTTTTTTTTTAATTTTTAGTGGAGACGGGGTTTCACCACGTTGGCCAGGCTGCTCTCAAACTCCTGACCTCAAGTGATCCACCTGCCTCAGCCTCCCAAAGTGCTGGGATTAAAGGCATGAGCCACCATGCCCAGCCTCAACAATTATTTACTGAGCATCTACTCTGTGCAGAGGTACTAGGGATACAACATAGACAGAATCCTTGTTTATACTATGTCTGCCTCTAGTTGGAGAGACTGACAATGAGTGAGTAATAATACGTAGTTTTGGACAGTGATCAATGCTATGATAGTGATAGGCACGGGGGCAACTTTCAAGAGGGTACTGAGAAAAGCCTCTCTGAGGAGGTGACAAGTGAGCTGAAAAGTCCATGAGGAGAGTGAGCCAGCCACTGCAAGATCTGAAGGGAAACCAATCCAGGCAGCAGGAGACCCTGGCTTTGCAGAACTGCAAGGCCAGAATGACCACAGAGCATTGAGCCAGAGGGGGCATGGTAGAGATAAGGTCAGCTCATATGACCTCTTGAGCCACAGCAAAGATTCGGATTCTAAATGCAACATGAGGCCACTTAAGGATTTTAAGTAGGAGTGTAAATTACCTGAATTATGATTTTAAAGGAATGTTCTGGGCAGGCACAGTGGCTCACGCCTGTAATCCCAGCACTTTGGGAGGCAGAGACGAGCAGATAACCTGAGGTCAGCAGTTCCAGACCAGCCTGGCCAACATGGTGAAACTCTGTCTCTACTAAAAATCCAAAAATTAGCCAGGTATGGTGGTGGGCACATGTAATCTCAGCTACTCGGGAGGCTGAGGCAGGAGTACCGCCTGAACCAGGGAGACGGAAGTCGCAGTAAGCCGAGATCGTGCCATTGCACTCCAGCCTGGGTGACAGAGCAAGACTCTGTCTTAAAAATAAATAAATAAATAAACAAATAAATAAAATAAAGGAATGTTCTGCAGCCAGCTACATGGAAAATGGGTTATCAAGGGGCAAGACAGGAAGTAGGGAAACTAATTAGGAATCTATTACCAGAGCACAGGAGAAATGTAATGGTGGCTTGGACCAAGGTGTTAACAGTGGAGATGGGATGGAGAAGTGGTCACACTGGGTATATATTAGATACAGATTCAACAGGACTTGCAGGTGACTTGCATGTTGGGGACTGATAAGACTTGAAGAATCAACTCCTGAGTGTTTATTAGGAGCAACTGGATGAATCGTGGTACCATTTACTGAGAAAGGGAAGACACAGGGAGAAACACAAGGAGATTGGGGTACGGGGGTGGGAGATGGGAGGGCGGACAGAAATTTGGGCTTGGCTCACTGTGAAACTGTTGCCTCTATTAAGTCCAGTAGCTAATCCAAAAGAATTTCCATTGCAATTGTGACTCTGAGAGTATATCATTGCCCGATGCCAGGTTCAGAAAGCCACTGACCCCACCACCCTGCCTCTTTATACTCTTGGAGCTAATGATTGGACACTGGGAGGTTTTGGGGAAAAACAAAAACCCAACATCTCAAAAGCTCTATGCTTGCTAGAAGTAACAGTCAAAAGCTATGCCACTTAAATCTTCTGCCTCTTAAATCTCTGAGTCAGCCTAATTGGCAGAGCCTAACTTGCATACAGAACCCTAGCTGCAAGGAAGTTTGGGTAATGTAGTTTCCAGGTGCCCTACCTCTGCAAACCAGGAAGCCGAGATCTCAACTAGGAGGACGTAAGTTGAAATGAATGCTGAGCACAGGTCCACTATATCCACCAAGGGTGTGTAATTCACTACCACCATCGTTTGCATATGATGGTAGCCCTCTGTAAATACAAACTTCAAACAATCAGTGTTCTCAGAATCCAGCTATGATCTAATCTGGGGGCCTTGAATGGAAGCCACAGTGGAATCCAATGGAAAACAGGAACCGGCATTATCTAACAGATAATTCCTAGTGAGGAAGACTGGAATTGGCCTCAGCATGCAGGGGCTGACCTTATCTGACCCAGAGAGATGGCTTTCCCACTCATACCTCCACAAGACCGAGCCTAGTGGTCCTAACCACCAGCCCCGCTGCCTCTTCCAGCATCTAATCCCTCTCGGGAGGCAGTCTAGAGTACTGGTGACGATAACAATGTCTTTGGGAAGATAGAACTTTGCCTTCGTATGTTTTGATCATCACCACTATTCGGTGGTTATTTCCGTGAATGTTTATCAAGGACGAAAGGACAGAAATGAAAAACACGAGATCAACCACCGGGGTTGCTGGTGAAATCCAGACCAGAGAGCAATGGCCCTGGTCCAGAAAGCTAGACAGACACAAGCACAGAATCGGCCCCCGTTGAGAAGAGGGCACTGGAAAATAAGGAATCTCGCAGGTAGCCTAGGTGGGGTGTGGGCGCGGGCGCCCCGGAAGACTCCTCCCGGGTGTGGGGGTCACCTTAGCTGCACGGTGGGGTGGGGGTGGGAGACGTCCAGGGGCGAGACAAGGGGGAAGACGGTTGGGAAGAGAGGAAGCCACTGCGTGCAGGAGTCCCGGGGCGGCGACAGATCCCGGCCCCCATTCAGGAGCCCTCACCACGCAGACGAGCAGAAGGCAGCGCCAACTCCCACTCCAGCGCCCGCCAGCCGGAGCGAGCGCGGCCCCTTTAAAAACCATGTAAACAAAGCTTTGTTCCCCCAGCCGCCCCTCCTTCGCGCTCCCCGGGCCTGCTCCTTCCTCCCACCCGGCGTCTCCGTGCCGCTGACGTTGCCCGCGCCTTTACGCCGTCCCAGCGGTGCTGCGCATTCTCCAACCACGGCCCGAGCCGCCGGGGCCTGCGCAGCTGAGTGGCGCTACGCCACGAGCGTAGCGCGACGAGCCCCCAGCGCGCAGGCGCAGCGGCGACGGCGTCGGCGGCGGCGGCGGCAGCGGCCCCGGCCGAGGTGCGCGCTGGGGGGGAGGGGGGGCCGGAGAGGAGCATGAATGGAGCAAAATGGCGGATCATGTGCAGGTGAGAGGAGCCGCGGGGGGGAGGGGGCGGCCACGGAGAGCGGCGAGTGGAGTGGGGGGCGCACGCGGCCCACAGGGCGCCAGCCGGCTCGGGGTTCGCCAGGCCCACGCCGCCGCCACTCGGGGCTCTGGAGCCGCCGCCCGTCCCGGAGCCCCGGGGCCTTTCCCGCCTCCCGGGCCGGGGGCCTCCTTCGTCCCCTCCCACCCGGTCCCACGCCTCGCTCGCGGGGCTGCAGGAGCAGGAACGGGCGTCCCGGCGCGCGCAGCCCACAACGCTCGTCAGTCACTGTCTTCGTGCCCAGGGGAGGCCTCCGTCAAGTCCTCGGGGGGCCCCCCCCGCCCCACGGTGAAGCGAGGGGGGACCCCCTTGCTGACTCTCTCCTGAGGGGGACGCCCCCATTACGCCCGCCATCCCTCAACAGATAACAAAAAGGAAACCTCGCGCTGATAAACCTCGCTCGCCGGAGTCTTTCCCGCCGCCTTCCTCTCACGCCCTGGAATATGGGAGACCCCCCAGCAACCCCGGCCTCCTTCCCCCTCCCACGGATGCGCCCTTCGCTCCGACACTCCAAATCGCACAACCCGGAGGGCCGAGCTCCCCGGTCCTCCAAAATGGGTGCTCAGGCCTCGGCCCGCCTCTCCTCGCGTCCTCCTAGCCACAGTGAAGGAGTTGAGCGCCCACACCTACCATGAAACACTGGGTGGAGGGGGGTGTGTCTGAAAGGAGAGATGAAGGGTTGGGTGCAGACGTTGCTCGGAAGGGTCTTGATCCGGCTCAAGAGCTGCCCCGAGGGTGCTGTGGGACCAGGCCACTCTCCTCAAAGACAGGCACAGGCCCTAGAAAGGGACAGCCAACATCAAACCCAGTAGCAGCTGGAGGACTGCAGGGTTTAATTTCTTGCAAACTAGATAAAGTTTTTCCTGTCCGTGCCTGAGATCTGATATTTTTATGACAGTTATTGATGCACGTCCATTGTGGGGAACCTTCCAATTTTCTAGGTAACCAACTGCACAGGTTTTGTGTTGTGGGAAGGAAAGATTAGAGGGCAAGAAGTGTCGCCTTTATACTCTATGGCATCATTCCTCAAGTGAAAAGAATGATGTCATTCTTAATACGTCTGCAAGAATCTGGAGTGATGTGATTTCTGCCCCTTTCTTTGTAGAGAAGGGACTAAATAAAATACTTAA